TATTATTCATCTTTCATATCATAGTGTGTACTTAGATTTCGCTTTTTATCATATTTATTATAAGGAGAATGATGAATGTATGTGCTTTATATCTGATAACCATTTCATCTAAATTCGCACTATTATTACATATCCATTTTAAAGGGAATGTAAATGCATTTATTGATGTTAGTATTTTAACATCTTCATTCTTGCTTATCTCATAAGCTCAATGTCAGTATTTCATTAACGTATAAATGGGTGCACTGTTCAAACTAATGTACTCTGTACAATCTCAAGTAGGGAAGACAAGTTCCCCATTACAAGTGAGACACCAGGTACCGTTTGCAGTTCAAACAGCCTGAATAGCGAATTTTGTGATGGAGTAATGTCTATTGCAGTGAGACATCATTCTCGTTTTCTTGACAAACAAGGTTTAACTGTAGATGCTATTTTTGGGTCTACAAAACATTTATGATAACCTGTAACTTTGGCTGAGAGGTGTTTGAAAATGTCGTCGTCCTCAGATTTATGGAGTGAAAGAAACTCTGAAGTCCGTGAGTGTAGAGGCCATGATTAGCTCCAATATATCTATTGATTTTAGGTTAAGGAACCCTGAATAGTTTAACTGAAAAGTTCCTTAAGAAAGTTTCCTTTAAAAAAGCGACAAACAATTTTCATGATCATAAGAAATGTCTCCTTAAGCATTGTCCACAGTACGATGTGGACAACGTCATGGGTATTTGTACATGAAACGCATTATATGCCACGTTTATTGTCTCGGCCATTTGGAAGATAGTCCAATGTGACGACACTCTCGGCATCCAAGGTCATAACCTTTCTAGGTGATGTGACGGTTTGTGCCTTCTTTGGTAGTCGTGATGTCAAATGATTCCACAGGTTTTATTATTGTTTAGACAGAAAGCTGTGAAAGCAGGTTTCATCCACGGTCACAAATCCTTGCAATAACCTTTCTGGGTCATCTTCAAACAGAGCTTGATTATCACGAAACATATTGTGCCTGGTGGTCAAATATCAGGAGCTTTAAAACCCAACGAGCTGATACTTTCTTCATTGCCAAAGTTTCTGTAATAATGAAATGTACGCTTTCTTGGGAATGTCTATTGAACTAGCAATATGAGGCTCGTCGATTTTCTGTGTCATTTCTGGAGTTGCTAAAGTGACATGCCTTACAGAATGGGGATTGCCTTCAAGGCTTTCACTGACGTGTAAAACTCTGCTACCCACCTCTCTACGTGGCATAGGAATGGGCATACTTCCCTCGTTATACCCACATCTTCATGGGTGTTAAGGCCTTGTTCTTCAAGTATACCAAAAGGACAAAAGAGATCTTGTGTCCATATTCAGCAGGTTTGGTATAACAGATGTTGTGGAAGTGTCACCAATCAGAGCACCCACTCCAGCAGCTATCCCCCAAGAAGAATGGTCGAGAGCGCTCTCCAATAACACACCCTAAATGACTAATACGCCGACACAATGGAATTGTCGAGGTATTAGAGCTAATTTTGAACAAATGTTACTTTTAGCTTAAGATTATAACCACGTGACATTGAGCCTCCAGGAAACGTTTTAAAGAGATGATCATCCATTTTATTTACGCCACTATGATACCTACAGTTCGTTTGCAAAGATTACCAATGATAAGGCCTGTGGTGGCGCAAGTATACTTGTGAAACAGGGTACACTACATAGTTCTATTACCCTAAATATTAACCTACAAGCCGTTGCAGTACGCATAACTTTACATATTGCAATAACTCTGTGCTCTTTATATACCTCCTTATACCTCCATCATACGCTCCTCAAATCATGGATCTGGATAATCTCATTGACTAATTTCCCAAGTCCTTCATTATTATGGGTGACTTAAATGGTCACAATCCCTCTTGGGGATCATCTACACATAATGACAAGGGGAAAGTACTTGAAGACATTCTTGATAAGCAAAGTCCATGTTAATTACGGAAGTAGCACCTACCTCCACCCGGCAACAGGTACATACAACATGGAAACATGGCATCTTAAAAGATCTCAATAATATGGAGGCCGTGGCCGTATGCCTGATTTGATCAAACGCTTTTTAGAAGATAGACAATTTAAAGTGTGGGCTCCACATTATCAGAGATATTTAATCAAGTAATGGGGGTCCCTCAGGGCAGTATTTATCAGTGACACTTTTTAGCATAAAATCAGTAGCCTGGAAAACGTTTTAAATGATAATCTTCATGATTCATATTTGTTGGTGATTTCCATGTATCTTGCCGTGGTAGAAATATGAATACCATTGAATGACAGTTACAACTTTGCCTCAATAAAATGCATAAATGGTCTCAAGAAATTGGTTATAAGTTCTCTAAAACTAAAACCTGTTGTATTCATTTTTGCAATAAACGTAAAATACATAAAGATCCAGAATTGACTTTGAATAATATTCCAATAAAAGTGGCATCCTTAAAATGGGGTAGAGACCAACACACTTTGTTATATCTCTATAGAACATGGATTGGATAACTTGAATACGGCTGTTTCATATATGGTTCAGCCCGTCAACCGTACATTAAAGAACCTAACACCTTTTACCATCAAGGTCTTAGATTGTGTCTGGGTGCATTTCGAACTTCCCCTGTCGAAGCTTATTAACCTTGCATTGATATCAGAAGAATAAAACTGGCACTGCAATACGTTACAAAACTTCATTCCAATCCATCCAATCCGGCGTTTAACATCGTTTTAATCCTCCATGTCAGACTTTGTATGACAAGAAACCTCCACTTGGTATCCGGATTCAACAATGCATTACAGATGCAGATCTAAACATTTCTTCAATTGCAATTCATAACTTACCCGAAGTGACACCCTTGCAGTCAATACAGCCTACTGTCAATTTTGAGTTAACGAACTTGAAAAAGGCAGATACGAACTCCTTATCATACCAACAAGCCTTCCTAGATATTAAACATCAATATACAGGGTATACAAACATATACACTGATGGATCCCAAAATGCAGCTGTTACAAATGATCATTACGATTAACTGATGGAATTTCTAATTTTACGGCAGAGGCTAAGGCTATACCATTAGCCTTGCAACGTATTGAATGTTCAAAAGAGTCCAGTTTTATCATTTTTTGATAGTTTATCCCGTTTACAGGCAATCAAAAACTGACCATCCCTTTTTAGCAGTAATTTTGAAATGTCATTTGAATTGTCCGTGGCGAATAATAACATCGTCTTTTGTTGGCTCCCCAGTCATGTTGGCATCAGTAGAAATACTAAAGCAGATTCTGCAGCTAAAGCTGCTCTTGGGAAATCATTCTTGGCAGGTACTTTCCCATATACTGACCTGAAGCCTGCTATTCGCCAATATGTTGGAAATATGTGGTAGCAAAGGTGGACTTAAATATTAAGTATTAAAAAAGCTTCATGCTATATACCCCTTGATCGGAAATCATGCACCTACCTGATTAAGTCGTCAAGATGAAGTTGTTATCCGACGATGTCCTATTGGACACAGTCATTTGACTCATTCCTTCTTATTGAAGGAAGAAGATCCCCCTCAATGTACACCTTGCCATGGTCCTTTGACTATGAAGCACCTTTTGTTTGAATGTGTGGATTTGGCACTTATTCGTCAATGCTTTTATACAGTTCAAACTATTTCCGAACTTTTCAATTAGCCTATTTAAAAAAAATTAAACTGTATGAAAAGATGTAGATCTTAAATTTTGAATGTCAGTTTTTACTGTTTACCGTGAAAAGGGAACTTTTAGTGATCGTCATCATCATTTTTAAATAATGTTTTCTAAAGGAAATTGATTTTGTTTTTAATAACTGCAATATTGCTGATGCGGCAACACTTACTCACTCTCTCATTAACATACAGTGGCTGTCGTATACCATGATCATGTGTTTCTCATGGACATTTCTATGCGGTTTGTTATCTACCTGTGCTTTATTTGAGAGGTGACCCGTGAAGACCCAGGCTTACCGTAAATGGCGACTATGCTTGTCGTAATAGGCGACTATGCTTGTCGTAAGAGGCGACTAAAGGGATCGGGTGGTCAGGCTTGCTGAATTGGTTGATGCATGTCATCGTATCCCAATTGCGACGATCGATGTTCATGATGTCAATCAGTGGATTGTCTGGTCCAGACTCGATTATTTACAGACCGCCGTCATCTAGCTGGAATATTGATGAGTGCGGCGTTAAACAACAAAACAAAACATTTGGTCAAACAATTGCTGTAAAACCAAAGCCAATGCATTTGTAATCGTCAGACTGAAATCTAGAGGAAATAAAGAATCTCTCTCCACTTTGTGTCCATCACTAATGTTAGCAGACTGCAGCAAATAGTTGATTGCACTAAATGATGCAAACCGATGTGAATCGATGGCCTTGGGCATGATTGTCGCAGGGTGGAACGAACATGGCGGCGGAAGAGCAGCAGTGGTCTTTTGTTTGACTGTAGTATATCGCTTAATGCCCGATCCTGAGTGAGTGAGTGAGTTTGGTTTGACGCGGCTTTTAACAGTATTACAGTTATATCGCGGCGTGTCAGCTTAATGTGGGAGGAAAGCCCGAAGTGATGCAGGTTTCAGACGTTTACCACTTCGGTGAAACCCACGAGCACGGGTATGGTGCTGACAAACCTAGAAACATAATCGCGGCGAACCGGGATTCGAACCAACAATCATAGGTTTCTGGCGTGCCCAAGGGACGCAACTCTGCACAGGAGAGCCTTGGAGGGAGCAATCCTTGAATTGTTTACTCCCTCCAAGACTGTGAATGTATCGCTAAAAGTTTTTCTGCTTCTCTGTCACGATCGTTATGAAGCGTAAACACAAGCCTTGTAACGATGATGTACCAAGGCCAACATCAAACCATCATGATTGTCAAAGGTCTTATCATAAACCATGAAATACGTGTTTATGGTACGCCATGGTGTGCGTGTGTATGTGTGTACATACCTCTAAAAATGTGAAAAAAAACAGGAAGATCTTTAGGCAGATTAATTTATTGGAACTACAGAATGAGTATACATAAAAGGCTCTGAGTAAATATTTTGTCTCCATTTTATATTCAGATAATAACAGTAACAAAACAACACAAACATGCATTATATTGACGCTTAACACCCAAATTACATAATTACTTTATAATCTATAATTCCTAAACATTATCCGGTATCATTTGCTTTAATTTACCTCAGGACACAATATGTTATTAGAAGAATGTCTGAAAGTCTCAAAACTTTGTGTGCAAAATGGATGGGCCGGACTCATAGTATTCCTGCCTGCTGATGCTCATGTCCTTGAAGTTGGACTTTGAAGCAAGGATGGAGCCACCGAGCCAGGTGGAGTATTGCCTCTCCGGAGGAGTTATGATGTTGATATTCATTGTTGATGGAGCAAGGGCTGTCATCTCCTTTTGCATCCTTTCAGCCATGCCAGGAAACTTGGTGTTACCACCCGAGAGAATAATGTTAGCATATAAATCTTTACGGATGTCAGCATCACACTTCATAATCGAATCGTATGTTGCCTTATGGATGCCGTCCTGAGAAGCACCAATAATTGATGGCTTGAAGAGAAGCTCTGGACTACAGAACCTCTCTGTACCAACTGTGATAATTTCACCGCTGGGAAGCTCAAAAGTCTTCTCCAAAGAGATGGAAGAGGCAGCACGTTCCTGCTCAAAATCGAGGGCAATGTACAAAAGTTTTTTCTTGAGGTCATTAGTGATTTCTCTCTCGGCAGTGGTAGTGAAGCTGAAACCACCTTTTGTTAATAATTTCATCAAATATGATGTCACGTCTGCGCCAGCGTAGTCCAGCCTGATAATGCCTGGAGTAACAATTTTACCTTCAGAGATGGGTACGGCGTGGGTGACACCAGCCCCTGAATCCAGAACCAAACCTGTGGTACGACCAGAGGCATGCAAAGACAGAGCAGCCTGGACGCCCACATATATAGATGGGACATTGAAGGTTTCAAACATCATCTGAGCCATCCTTTCACGGTTAACCATCGGGTTAAGTGGAGCCTCTGTCAAGAGCACGGGATGTTCTTCTGGAGCCACATGGAGCTCGTTATCGAACATGTGACGCCATATCTCCTCCATGTCTTCCCATTTTGTAACTATTCCATGTGGAACAGGGTAGTTAAGTGTAAGAATTCCACCCTTGGATATAGCTTCTCCACCGACGTAGGTATCTTTCTGTCCAAAACCAGCCATATAACCCTGGGGAAAAACACACACATAGTTAAATGTCCTATGCATAATGTGAAAACAGCGACAAAAATTGTCCAAACCATCAGAAATCTCTGCACTTATTATACGATTCCAGTTAATTCATAAGCATGTGTTTATGAATCACTTTCAAATAGTTATTATACCAGGTGTTTCACAAAAAGATGAGCGTGTCATAACCCACCCGTCACAAACACATCGAAGTCAATTGTTCACCTTAAAACTTACGTTGGCATCTGCACATATGAAATTGTATGAGATATCAGTTCTGTCACTGATGCGTTAAACAATTTGGAAATGTCTTCGGCATATTACTCAACTTAAGGAAATGTTGACTGTTGTAAGGTTGAAGTCATCCCTCATCATACAGTCTTGTAGACAGTTTGTATCACATGAATCTGTATGCATATATCTAAATATCAACAGATGAGGCTGTTTCACTGGCCTCCTTTATTTCTAGCTCAGTTGGGTAAATAAGTGGAAGGAATATGGATATTTGGTCATTGTTGACCGATATCAGATCATCGGTATACCCGAAGTTTATTTATTAATAAACTTCATGGCCAAGTTCCCTTTTTCTGATTTTTAAAACTGATCAGCAACGAGCAGATCAAAGTTGGTATCCATGGGGATGCCTAGTTCTTGCCTAAATGTCCTATTCCCAAATTTCACGAATAGGTTATCTACAAGGAGATGCATTTCACCTAATGTCTTCTCAGTTAATTTCAGATGACATGTGGGGCCACGGGTGGCGCAGTCGTCTTAGGCGCCGCAATTCGCTGTGCACGCCAGAAACAAATGATTGTTGGTTCGAATCCCGGTTTGCCCCCATTATGTTTCTAGATTTGTCTGCACCATACCCGTGCTCATGGGTTTCACCGAAGTAGTAAACGTCTGAGACCTGCATCAGTTCGGGCTTTCCTCCCACATAAAGCTGACACGCCGTGATATAACTGCAATACTGTTAAAAGCGGCGTTAAACACAACTCACTCACTCTCTCACATAGTTCAATTACACATACTACACACTGGTTCCCTTCACCCATTTGATGAGCCAATATTGTTTATTAATGTCCAATAAAAGTATTACCTGATACCTGAGGCGGCCAACAACTTCGGGGAAGACAACCTTTGGTTCATTGTCACTAGCGAACCCGGCCTTACACAAGCTGGATCCGTTGTCGATAACCACCGCAGACATTTTGACAGAAATGTGTAAGAGCAAGAGTCGTTCCTTGTTGCACGCCAGCTGGGGACCGAATGACTCTACATTCACCAAGAGGCTATATATATGCGTGTTAAGATAACCGGACTTCTATGAAAGCAATGACAAAGATGTTGATTAGGCATCTTTCATGGTTTCTTAATTGTTTTTATGTATTATTCTCTCTTCATAATAGCATAGTTTGTACTCAGATTTCGATTTTTATCATATTTATTATAAGGTGAATGATTAATGTGTGTGCTTTATATCTGATAACCATTTCATCTAAATTCACACTATTATTGCATTTCCATTTTAATGGGAATGTGAATACATTTATTGATGTTAGTACTTTAACATGTTCATTCTTGCTTATCTCATTAGCTCAATGTCAGTATTTCATTAACGTATAAAGGGGTGTATTGTTCATAATTATGTACTCTGTACAATCTCGAGTAGGGAAAACAAGTTCCCCATTACAAGTGAGACCCCAGGAAGGTACCGTTTGCAGTTCAAACAACCTGAATAGCGAATCATGTGATGGAGTAATGTCTATTGTGGAGAGACGTAATTCTCGTTTTCTTGACAAACAAGGTTTAACTGTAGATTTCCTCAAACTCTATTTTTGTCTACAAAACTTTTATGAAAACCTGTAACTTCGGCTGAGAGACTTAGCACTTTTGAAAATGTCGTCGTCCTCAGATTTATGTAGTGAAAGAAACTCTGATGTCCTTGATTAGCTCCAGTATATCTATTGATTTTCTTGTTTCCTTCAAAAAAGCGACAAAACTATTTCCATGATCATAAGAAATGTCTCCTTAAGCATTGTCCACAGTACGATGTGGACCACGTCATACGTATTTGTATATGAATCGCATTATATGCCACGTTTATTGTCTCGGCCATTTGGAAGATAGTCCAACATGGCGACACTCTCGGCATCCAAGTTCATACCCTTTCTAGGTGATGTGACGGTTTGTGCCTTCTTTGGTAGTCGTGATGTCAAATGATTCCACAGGTTTTATTATTGTTTAGACGGAAAGCTGTGAAAGCAGGTTTCATCCACGGTCACAAATCCTTGCAAGAACCTTTCTGGGTCATCTTCAAACAGAGCTTGATTATCACGAAACATATTGTGCCCGTAAAAGGAGACTATTTTTGTGACGCCAGATCTCTTCCATGGTTTCACAGTCGTTGGGTACGTAATGTTCAGTTTATCTCTCTTTGGCACGAGCTCTTCGCCGACGTTGAACCTCTTCTGTTCCCTACCGAGGCCTGAATTTACAAACATATTTTGCCCATAGGGAAGAGAATATATGGATGTCAACTTCTTTATTATGAGGAACACTGTGGACGTTTTGAATGTATAGCTCATTATATTATATATGTTTCAAGTACTATTACCTCAGAGGCAATCCGGGGTAGAATAGATCTTCAGCAAGCCATGCCTGCAGTAAAAGGTGACTAAGCTTGTCGTAAGAGACGACTAACGGGATCGGGTGGTCAGGCTCGCTGACTTGGTTGATGCATTGCGTGGATAGATGCTCATGATATAAATCACTGGTTTGTCTGGTCCAGACTCGATTATTTACAGACCGCCGTCATATAGCTAACCAACCTCAGGGGAATGAAGTGCACATATTGCTATCAAAATTCGGTCAGTCTTGACATTTCATTGGCTGATCGTGAACCCTGACCTTTACTGTATTACATTCGCTACTCTCCTTCACTGGTAATACAACAAAACTTGCCGCAAAGGAAAAGTTATATGATACTATTGCTTTTGTAATTTTATTATCAAACGCAGAAATACTTTTGCAAGAATAAAGCAGTATCGTTCTCATTTTCTAACCATGTGTAAGTGCAGCTGTTAATCTAATTCTTTGTAAGAACCATTGGCAGTTTTTTTGTTTAATGCCGCACTCAGCAATATGACGGCGGTCTGTAAATAATCGAGTCTGGACTAAACAATTCAGTGGTTGACATCATAAGCATCGATCTACGCAATTGGGATACAATGACATGCATCAATCAAGCCTGACCACCCTATCCCGTTAGTCGACTCTTACGACAAGCATGGGTTGCTGAAGACCACTTCTAACCTGGATCTTCAGGGGACAGATTAACGGCCTATTATCCCGCGATTGAATACATATAACAAACCACAAAACTGCAGAAAGTAAATCTTCCCTGAAATGTTCTGATGAGTAGCAAAGAGCAACCAGTGCGGCTAAAAGCTAGTTTCATGGGCAGTACAGAACATTGTTCCTGTTTTCAATGTCCATTAAGCACAGAATATATAGCGCCGTCGACCCTTAAAAAACAAGACCGCGGTACACTCAGATAATGTGAGTTTTATGCTGTATTTACGAACTCGTGAAGATCCGGGGTAGAATAGGTCTTCAGCAACCAATGCTTGCAGTACAAGGCGACTGTGCATGTCGTAAGAGGCGACGAACGGGATCGGGTGGTCAGGCTCGCTGACTTGGTTGATGCATGTCATCGATCCCAAATGCGTGGATCGAAACTCATGAAATAAATCACTGGTTTGTCTGGTCCAAACTCGATTATTTACAGACCGCCATCTTATAGCTGGAATATTGCTGAGGGCGGCGTTAAACAACAAACCAACCAACCAGTTTTATTTACGAATATGATGTTGTAGTAACACATACGTGGCTCTGCTGGAATATTGCTGACTATAACGTAACATACTGTTTCCGAAAATCATTCATTTAACTGCTGCATTGTACGATTTGGTATTTATGGGTATACAGTAAACTACGGTTAGAACGAACACGCTTATAACGAACTAACGGATATAACGAACTAACGTTTTAGTCCCGACTATATGCTGTAGTTATGCTGTATGTATGCTTATAACGAATTACGGTTATAACGAACTAAAATTAGTAGTCCCTTTGAGTTCGTTATAACCGTAGTTTACTGTACCTGTGAACAATTATCAAGTTAAATCATTGTTTTTTAGAAATAGTGGACCATTACGGTGTTATGAAAACATTTGCTTTAACACAAATCATCTTGAAATAGTATTTAGCTATAAATAGCTAGGTGTTCAGTTTTTCTCATCTGCCTCATGATACTTTACCCAAACAAGATTAGCGCAACAAGCTTGGAAAGTTATCCAAATGTTGCAATGTAATTTTGTTATGTTTCAAAAACTTCCTATAACTATACAGCTTCATATCTTTGATATTAAAATCATGCTAATTTTAATATATGGATCTGAGGCATTGGGTTTCCACCCATTCTCAGATGTTGATATAATTCATGACAGGTTTTGTAAATTAGTATTAGGTCTTAGACCTCAAACCCCGAATAAAGCTACGTTTTGCTCCATCAAAGGGTTGGCTATTTATTTATTTATTGATCAATTTGTAAAACGCTGTAAAGATATTGATGTTCAGACATGGAACGATACTATCACACCTTCTCTAAAATAAACTTTTACAGACATGTTAAAATAGAATATGGTTTGGAAGATTATATTTTTTGTATTCACAATATGATCTATCTTAAAGCTTTACCTAAATTTAGATGCTCTAGTCATTATTCTGTCCATATTGCATAGTCTTTAATAGTAGAATTAGAATACCATTTCTGCCTCCAATGTCCATTCTAAGCAGATTTAAGAGACAGCATTTTACCTAAGTATTATTTGGTGTCCTCCCAAAACGCCTACATGCCAAAACACCTACAGCACACCTAATCCCCTGCCTGTTACCTTTGTCATTTTAATGGATTAACCCCAAGAATATTTATATACATTTTATTTTACTAATCAGTCAGATGATAATCACAATAAGTCAATAGCCAAGTTTCAAAAGATTACCAACAGCATCCAAGTATTGGATGGGTGTTTTTAATCCCTGGGCCAAATGTTCTTTTAAGCGGCACAAGATCCTCTACCTCTCGTTAGACTCGTTTTCTACACCTGGGGGTAGCACCAAAGTCGATCTGCGAAATCTTGGCCCGATCTGCATGTTCTACCTTCTTGATGACTTCAATGAAGCAGAAGATGTTGGGATGTCGATGACCTAGTCCACGGTTCAGTCTGCTGTGGAATCCTTCCAGATTGTTGTTTGTTTTCGGACCTATCGATGAGTGATGGTTAGACAATGCAGTGGGAATCGTGCTCCGTCGTCAACCCAGTAGACAAACCAAGTTCTAAGTCCTGTGTCTTCCTCCAAATGGCTTGGCTGTAATGAAATAGGCATCCTTTGACACTACCAGCGGTGAATACAAGTCTGTCTCTCTACAATCTTGGTGTGACGATATCCATTAAACAAAACTTGTGCGCTTCCTTTCTGTGAAAAAATAAACTCAACATTCTGGAGACCAGCCATGTTGATATGCAATCATTTTTTTGACAACGCTTATATACCACAGCAAACGTACTCTTAACACAATTGGTTGAAATTGGTTTATTTAGATACTTTAGGCACATTCATGCTTTAACCTTAACTCGGGTTTAAATCAATTCTGTATTTCCCGGAACAGTGTTAAAATAAGCAAACCTGCTTGTTCACCAATTCGGGTTTCTTTAGAAACAATATGGTTAAACAAACCAATCTTAAGTTAATTAGTATAATCTTTTATTCAGTTTCAGTTTCAGCTCGAATCCGCTTTTACTCAACAGTCTAGGGAAATATATTTTCTTAGCACTTAAGAAATTTATATACTCTTCAAAAAAAGAAACTTGACACTAACTTTCAAAATGCAATATAATGCGATTGTTTCAAAATAGGACACAGAAACCATAATTGAAACACTGTTTGAAGATCAATGTACACAATGTTCAAAACATTAATCGTGTCACCTAGACAGACACACGTACACGATACAGTTAATGTCACAGGGGTACAGAAAATGTCAGTATCGGATGTGCCCACCACGTGCATCAATCACCGCTTGACACCGACGACCCATAGATGCAATCAAGTTGTCAATAACACGCTGTTGGATGTGCTGCCATTCATGCTGAAGTGCATCAAGAAGCGCCGGAAGTGTTTGGGGCGGTGGATTCCTTC